TGCTGGAGTTCAAGTATACTTATGCTGGAACTCCAGCATAATATACTGGAGTATTTTCCGGGTATTGAACAGTGTTTTCGCTCAGATTTATCTTTACATAAAAAGTGGCTAAATTTCGATTACTTTTCAAATTGAGCTATTTTTGAACGACCAGTTGTAAATCTGGTTATTTTTAAAAGTTACCCTATTTAAAGATTATTTTCATAAATAATACTAATATTCTTTGTTTATTTCATTTATAATAGATTTCTTTTACCCTTTTAGCAGGATTGAAAGATTATGTGGCTATTTAAAAAATATACTGCCCCACAAAACAAGGAATCCGTTTCTACCCTTACATTAATTATGTCAATGTTATTAATTTGGTACCTTCTCTCTCTTTCATAAAGTTACCGTAATTTCTCAAAAAAGTTCCCAATTCTACCGTCTCTCAGTTCTTTGAGGATTCATCTTCTTATTATTCCTTGGTTAATATTTTAAATCTCTGGATATTAAATATATTAGTTCCTTATACACATTATATATTACTATATATTAAGTATTATATATAAAAACACATGTGATGCACTTAAAATATATATTATACTACACATTTTTTGTATAATATATAAACATCAATGTGATGCACATACAATACATATTATATATTAATATTATATATAATATATATATTGTATATAATATAATATATAATATGTATATATATTGTGTATAATATTAATATAAAATATATATTTATTATATATACACACACATTATATACTACTAATATTTTTAGAGTTTTTGAAAGAAATTTATATTTTTTTGCCTTAATAAAATAAAGAGTCCCTGAAAGGAAGGGACTTATTGGGAGTCTATTTTTACTCAATTCATGATTCTTCAGAGAGATTCTTGGAACAATAATTAGACGTGATTTTCGGTTAAAGGTCCATTTTTGGATAGTTAATTTAATATTGTCTAGTTATGAGACTTGCCCAAAATCTTCTCAAATTTGTGCAGACACAAATGGAAGTTGAGGCAGACCCTAAACAGAGCAAAACCACAAAGTGTAAGCAAAACTTTGCAAACCCTAGCTTGCCCAATGAACTAATAACTGATATCCTTGAAAGACTTCATGTGAAGTCCCTCTTACGGTTCAAGTGCGTTTCAAAAGATTGGCTTTCTATAATCTCTAGCCCTCAATTTGTCAACACCCATCTTACTCTTTCTGCTAATGATTACTTCTGGCATAGATTGCTGTTGAAATTAAACCACAATTTTAAACATTGTTTTGTTAGCTCTATATTTGATGAGGCTGTTATTGAGACATTTGACTTGGATTTTCCCATAAAAAATCCTGATACTTCTTTTGATATTATGGGTTCTGTTAATGGGTTGATTTGTCTTCTCATTGGGTTGAATCGCTTGGTTCTGTGGAATCCATCAACTAGAAAGTTCAAGCAACTGCCTGACCTTATGCCTAAGCACACAGATGATTACAACTTCAATTACGGTTTTGAATATGATGAGGTTCATGATGATTATAAGGTAGTGGGTATTTTCTGTACATCCACTCATGGCTATGTCTGTGTATATAGTTTAAAAACTAATTCTTGGAGAAGACTTGGTGATATGCGAGGAGGGTTGTTATACAATGGTTCGGCTAAGTTGGTGCATGGGAAGTTTCACTGGGCAACGATGCATGCTGGTGGTTGGGGCGTTGGGTCTATTGATTTGGTTGAGGAGCGTGCTGATGGTTGGGGCATTACGTCTATTGATTTGGTTGATGAGAAGTGTCGAAAGGTGTAGCTACCCCGCTGCAGAGGATACTTTTATTTGAGGCTTGGAGTGTTGGGAAGTGAACTAACTATACTTTGTAATTATGATAGAACTCGAGATGATATGTGGGTTATGAAGGAGTATGGGGTTAAAGAGTCTTGGATAAAACTGTATACCTTCAGATATCCTAATGTGCTTAAGGACTATATGATATCTCCACCCCTTTGCATGTCAAATGAAGGTGAAATTTTGCATGTCGTTGGATCAACTTTCGCGATATACAATCCGGTGTATCGTTCATTCACATCTCCAAAGGTTACTAACATTGATGGCAGTGTTGAGGCGAAACTCTACATTGAAAGCCTAGTTTGTCCAATTTCACAAAACGAACCAGTGACACAACATTGAAGGCTGCAAAAGCTCAGGTGAATGAGAGCTGTGTAGCTAACAACTTTTAAGTTTTGGCTTTATTTGTTTTCCAAATGTTTTTCAATTATGCTGCTTTTATCGAATATAGAATAGTAAATTGCATATTTTAAGGCTATCTTTACACCACATCTGCTTAGATATCTTGGTTGCCTTTTTGTTTTTGCTTATTTTAGAGGAACACCAACTTTTGCAAGGACATTTTTGGTTGTAGTGTTTGGTGCTTCCGCATTCTAAGTTAGTGATATTTGACATTCTTTCTCATTTTAAGTAGTGTTTTAAGGGCACATGTTGTTCCACTAGACAGAGTAAGAGTAATGAGCACTAAGGCCAATGTGAATTTGCCTATAATAATTAGCATATATAGTCCTTGGCAGGGTCACTGTTTGATCTAGGACCTTCTATAATGATCGATTTTAGTGACACTTAGAGACAGGAATCACAGAAAATCATGGAATGACTAACAGTTATCTTCTGAATATCATCATGTTTGGCTGTTATCCTTTGCTGATAACAACTTACTGTTATTTCTTCGTGATTATCTTCTCATTTGTTTTAGTTATTTGGTCAATCAAAAGGTTGAATATTGTTTCACTTTAGTGATACCATTGACTTGAGCAAAAGTGGGTTAAAGGAAAATGTTTTCTTAGAAGGTATTTAGCTGCTATGATGTCGAGTGTATCAGGCTCTTCTTGAGCAGTCATTTCCTCCATTATCCCCGTTTGTACTTGGATGTATGGCTCATGTCCTGATTAAATTTCAAGTGCCCAGATTTGTTTAACTAAACAACTACCTGAACCATTGTTGAGAAGATAGATGTTACCATCATTGTAGGAGACAAACTCTCTAATTTTGATAGAATCCTCATTTTCCAGAATGATTTTGGGTTGAGCATAGGCATTGTTAGAAGTGCTGATTTGTAGTTCTCAGAATACTCTGAAACTTACTTCTTTCTTTTGACTTCATCTTTTTCCGCTTTACAGATAGGAAGATCAATTTCTTCGTCCTTTTCAGTCTATACACCCCTGAGTTTTTTTTTATCATTTTCTTTGACCTACTTTGCTTCATTTTTTCAACTTCCATGAAACCTTGATTACCTCTTGATGCAGGAAGTATTTCTCTCTGCTCTGATATTCCATCTAATTCAGTATTTACATCCTCATCCTGGCAAAGTTGAACTCCTGATATATGAGTTGAAGGGGTTCCAACAACTGTCAGTTCCGCGAAATCCTTTCTATGATCTTCACCGTTAACATTCAACCCTAGTGCTTCCTGTCCGTATAAACTCTGCTATGCTACATACAAAATCATTCTCAAATTCTGAATCGTCCCTGTGAGCATCGCGATAACCATATGTGACGACCCAAAGGGTATCACCTGTTTTCTCTCTCATTCCGTGCTTCCGAGGCCTTGAAAACCTTATTTTTTTACTTGCCTCGATTTGCGTGCACAGTCCGGGCGCGTAGCCGGAAAGCTTAATTATGAATTCTGTGTAAAAATTGATGAATTTTGATATTAATATGATTAAAGTTGACTTTGGTCAACATTTTGGGTAAACGGAGCCGGACTCGTGATTTGACGATCCCGGAAGGTCCGTAGAAAAATATGGGTCTCGGGCGTATGCCCGGAATCGAAATCCGAGGTCCCAAGCCCGAGAAATAAATTTTTAAAAGAAATTATTTTTCTGAAATTTATATGGAAATTTGAAATGAAAATGGATTAGAAAGCGTTGGTATCGGGCCCGTATTTTGGTTCCGGCGCCCGGTACAGGTCTTATATGTGGTTTAAGCGCTTTCTGTGAAATTTGGTTGAAATCGAACGTCATTTGACGTGTTTCGGACCTAAATATTAAAAAATAAAAGTTTATGAAGTTTGATGAAAAAGTGATGATTTTGAGGTTTGATTCCTCGTTTTTGATGTTATGTTTGCGATTTGATCGCATGGTTAAGTTCGTAGGATGTTGTTGAGTTGGTGCATGTGATTGGTTAGGAGCCCCGAGGGCTCGGGAGTATTTCGGAGGTGTTTCGGAGTGATTTCGAACTTAGAAAAGTTGCAGAAAATCTGCATCAGGTGCTCAGGTCTTTTCTTCTTCGCGTTCGCGACGCCTTGTTCGCGTTCGCGAAGCCTCGAGTGAGTCCTTCATTCTGTTCGCATTCCCCCTTCGCGTTCGCATAGAGTCCTTGAACTCTGAGGGCCCAACCCTCTTTCCTTCTCTGCGTTCGCGATGGCTGGACCGCGTTCGCGTAGGGTTCCAGCCTTATCTCATCGCGTTCGCGTATAGGTCAACGCGTTCGCGTAGACCAATCCCCTGGACCCCCCAGTCCTTCTCTTCGCGTTCGCGTCCTTCTCATCGCGAACGCGACAGTCTGTTAAGCCAACCCTTCGCGAACGCGACCTTGTTTCCGCGAACGCGAAGGGCAAATTCACCCAGTTATTTAAAATGCCCAAAACAGGCCAGTGACGGGAAATTTTCACCAAATACACGAACCCTTTATTCTCCACAGCTTCTAGGCGATTTTTAGAGCATCTCTTCACCAAAGCTTCTTGGGTAAGTATTCTCTAACTCGTTTTCTTCATTTTCTAACCTCATTTATCAAATTCCTAGACCTAAATCATGTAATTTAGGGTGTAAATTGGAGGAATTGGGTAGAACTAGGGCTTTTCAATTTTCTTTGATTTAGACCTCGTTTTGGGGTCGAGTTTGAAAACAAATTGTATATTTGGGCTCGTGGAGGAATGAGTGACATGGAATTGGTTCGAACTTCGGGTTTTGACCAAGCGGGCCCGGGGTAGATTTTTGGAATTTTGGGAAGAAAGCTTAGAAGTTCATATTTAGGCATTGGGTTTAGTTTGTTTAGCTATTATTAATATTTTAAGGTCATTATTTCATAGATTTGACTATGTTGGAGCCGAATTCGAGGGGTAAAGCTATACTAGAGGCTTGAGTTGAGTTTGGAGCATTCGAGGTAAGTGTTTGATCTAACTTTGGCTTGAGGGAATAGGATTAGAGTATTATTTGCTAATTGCTAAATGTTGAGTGCGGTGTATAGGCATGGTGACGAGTATCTATACACCGGTGTCTAGCATGACCGTGAGTCCTTATTTGTGCTTATTTGGGATTCTGTAGTGACTCTTCCTTGTTTAATTGATGGTTGCTATATGATATGAAGAGAATGAGAAGGAAATATGATGTGTAAACTCTTTGGAGCATTGGCTCGATTTTTGACTTGATTAAAAAGTAAGAAATGAACGTAAGAGAAAAAGATGTGATT